TACTTAGTTCAATCAGCTCCTCTTGTATTATGACATCCGTTTCTTCTGTGTCACCATATGGATTAATTATCCACGGTGGTATTACCATAGTCAAAATATCCTCAAACCTAGATTCAAAATCTGAATAGAGGGCATTTAAATGTTGAACGTAAGTTGAAACGTCGTCTTCCTGGCAGGTTGTCTGTGACAAATTGGGGAACTGAGAAAATTCGCCCCGTCCAATATTTTGCTTCATTAGTTTAACTCTGGCAAGAAACGCTGATAAGATGGACTTTGTTTTAATCAAATTTAAACTGACGCCTTGTAATTGCAAATTAACCATATTAAATTTTGTAAACAAATCTGTTAAATAGGCGATGTCTGTTTTCCTCTTCATTAAATTGTCTTTTAAAATTTTATCTTTAGTATCCTGAAATTCTAAAATAGTCTCAAAAAGTGCAAAAAATCTTGTCAAACATAAGCCTTTCGACAGCCAGCGTACTTCAGTGTGAAGGAGTAATTGATGAAAGTGTTCGTCATTTTCTTCACACAACTGCGCAAATAACCGCGTATTCAACGCGTTGCTTCGGATTCGGTTTACTGCATCAACGACTAAATGAATTGATTCATGCAATCTAACACTCAAATTTTTAGCAACTAAATGTTGAAAAATGGACCCCTGACACATTTTGTTTTAAAAAGCTTAAAAATCCACGATAACGTCCAACCATGGCAGGTGCTCCATCTGTAGCTACTGATATAATATTTGATAAAGGAATTGTTTTTTCAATGAAGTAATCCTTCAAAACATGAAACATTGATTCACCTATAGTGTCGGTTATCAAAGTTCTTGCTAAGAGCAGTTCTTCGTAGATTTCTTGATTCATAATAAAACGAGCATATGCCAATAATAATGCTGCATTATCAGGTAAAGTTGACTCGTCCAGTTGTATAGAGAAATGGGTTGATTGCAAATAATTACATAAGAAGCTTTCAATATCAGAACTCATTTCATCAATACGTCTTTCAACAGTATTGTTGCTTAAGGGAATTCTTTTAATGATATCAGATGCAGGTTTGTGTAAAACAGTTTTTAAAACCTCTTCAACGGCTGGCAAAATTAACTTCTCTCTGATAATATGCGGTTTTCCGGATTTTGCTATAAGTAACGAGATATTGTAAGACGCCCGCAAACCATCATCATTTCTTTGCGACGTCGAAGCGAACATTCTGTCCAGTGTAGGTCTCTTCTGAAATTTATCTTTGAGTGTTTGAAAGTATTTCAAATCTTTCTCTGTTTTATCAGGGTGGCATCTTCTCAGATGATCTTGCAGTTTAGATGGTTTCATAGCGTCATTGCCCACAACTTTGTTGCATAAAAGGCACATAGGCGATTGTTTGTCCGGCAATGATGGAATGAAGCCAAATTTCAAATAATCAACACTGTACTGTCTTTTTAGATTCGGACATGGCATCAGTCATCTGTGGTCAAAATTAAATTATTTAAATAAGACAGAAAATCCAGCAGCTGTATATTAAAAATATTTTTTGATTTTTCCGAAAACATTCCATAATTCGAACATCTTCTTGCAAGAATTAGCTTGAATTACGGAGATTGCACTGTAATTATATTACCGATTGCTAAAACTTTCAAAAAGAAACTATTGAGGAGTCCTCGTGTTATTTTGCATGATTGGATATTTAACTACTAATAACTAAAGTCATGATTGGCGTAATTTATCTATCTTTGCTAACTACGAGTACAAAACTAAAATTTAATAAAAAACAATGTACTTACTTTTCTCCAGCACTCTCAAACAAAATAACACTGACTCACTATAATTTGTGTGATATACTATCTGTTTATATTTTTTAAAATATTTTCTTCAAGATTCAGGAAACGAATAAACGTATTTGTCCCACATTCGTATTTATCGAGTGACGAATTGAACAAGTCAGTGCAAGGTAGCGAAGCTCTGAGACTGCGACTCTCAGGTTTTTACAAGTTCAAAATGTATTGCGACCACAAAGCGAATACCAACATCCTACAACTTACACAATTTTATAAACATATATAATAAATTTTTTACTTCAGGTACTTTTATAAATAATGTATATGTTTTGATATTATAAGATGGTATGATGTAAGTAAATAGGTACTATTAGTGTATGTGTTGAGATCCACTTTCGTGGACCCCCATATTCATTTCATGGACCCCCAATTTTTTTTCGCTGACGTAGACCCCTTGCAGGTTGTCATAGACCCCTAGGGGTCGATATAGACCACTTTGGGAATCAATGGGCTAGAACAACCGCCATGTTTTATTTTAATTTCGCCGTCGACTAGTATGGAATCTTACCCAAATAAGTTTAAAAACTTCATTAGCGAGTTATCACAATGAGCAGGTTTACATATTATTGTGATCTGTGAAGCGGTTGTTTTCATGGTTTTTAACGTTTTCCGTTTTTGTAGATTGTTTATCCTGAAACAGGATTATGACGTTGTGAGTAGTTTTTCCATTGATACTGTAATGTATATTCTTGTAACAAGCCCTGAGAAAGAAAACGAAGATTTTCGTTGACGACATGAACACAGAACCAACTTTCAAACTGGCCTTCTGGTATTCGTTTGCGTCATGGCTTCAACCTCAATATTTCTATCTTGCATATACACATAAGAACTGTTAAGTGAGTGCTTGACAAAATGTTGAAAATATAAGAAAAAATGTATTTTCTTTCTCAAATCCTTTTGAAGTGCTAACAGGTTTTGCTTCAGCTTTGGGCACAGTGCAACTTGCTAACCCGGCCTACTGAGGTAGTGTGTTGTCAAGGCGTCATCTGCTGAATCTGTGCTTCTAAGAACGAATGCCCGTATGTCTCCTTACCCAAAACCTAATATTCATTTCCAGCTGTATGTTAGCATTCATATGTTTTCCTTAGGTAGATACACGACCCGAGAGACTGACGGACAACTTGGGAGCATCTACTGGATAGAGGATATTGTTTATTTCGATGGATGATGTTGGAAGCTGGTTGTGCCTGATCGACTTTGTTTTATAGCCGAGCAGAGTATCTTTCGCTGTAAGAGAATATACGCTTGTTGGGACCGGTGCAATTTTGTCTCCCAAGCCCCTAGAGGTATTTTGCTTGCTTTGTTTCCAACGGCAAACTAATAATACCGCCATCTTATACGCTTCATTTCTTTTTCTATCGCTACTCCCCTAGCCTGATAAAAGGACTTATTTTCACTTCTGAGTAATGTTATATTGCCAATAAACGAGTTCTGTAGAAACGTAAGCTTATTCTTAATTACCAGAAGAAATCTGATACTCCGTTAGATATTCAATTCTCGTTGGCTTAGCTGAACAGAAAGTTAAGGTTGTTTCTTTTCTGTTTCTACAGCTAATTACGTGGTTGAGAGTAGATACTGACAGTACAGAAATCGATAGCGCTAGCACTCGTAGCTACTTGATTATAAGAATATAATTATGAAATCTAGACATATCTACAAAAGATAGATTATGTTTCTCCCACCTTAGGATTTCTCGCACATAGAAAAAAGTTTAACAGAAGTAATAAAACTTTAGTCAAACCAATTGAGGCTATTAATTTTTAGTGGTTATGCAACAAAAATACTTCAAAATGGATCACTCGGAAATGTTGGTCTAGTGATGCTTGTTATACGTTTTTTTGACTGGGTGAAACAAAACGGAGCCTGAAAATACTCCGCTTTCGAGATATCATTGAGAATTCAATTTATTAAAAAATCACTGATAAATAATTTCAACAGTCATTGTGTGGTTGTGATGAATGGAAACGGCTCATTTTCTACTCTAAATTTGGCCACTTGGGACATTTTTTTGGCATTATCAGAATTAAGCAAGCTTTGGAGATAAATGAAATTTTTGCACTTCATACCTGTTATGCGATGTATAACAAGACATTCTCCAAAAACTAAATATTTCAGTTCATCGTTCCAAATAACGTAAGCATATCAAGTTTCTTTTACAGATGACTACAACGGAAAAATAACATGTCAAAGCCGGATGGTTACTATAAAGCGTAATTTTCGAAAATCTGCGATCTAAACAAAAGAACTTTTCTAAAACAAATTTGGTTCGATATCATTGCGAAATTTTTTATTATGATATTCAAGCTTAATGGTCCACATTTAGGTGCAGAAAGGAAAATAAGAAATTTATTATTATAAGACGGACTGAAAAAAAAAATATTAAAAAATCTTGATACATCCGCCACCGGGATCAAAGCTTGTTTAGGAGAAAAAGTCCAATATGACGTCAAAAGAAAAATTAAAGTTGGTGCTGGAGGACAAGGTAAGTGTGCAATTTATTTTGAAATGCCACTGCAAACAAAGTCAGCAAAAAATTAAAACTTGGCTTTTCCGTCTCTCTGGAAGTACTTTGATTTTGAAACGTCTTGAGCGGCATTTTGTTGATTACCTAAATACACAACTTTGCCATCAAGCGACTTCGCATCTCTCACAGTTTCCGAGATCCCAATGGTGAGGATCGAATTTGAAACACCCTGTACATGTTTGCATCGTGTTCTAGACGTTCAACTTCCATTGAATATAAAAAAAATGTTACCTTGTTTGATAAAGTATCCTCCCGACAAGTATTTCAGTGCGGACCTGTATTTGATCGTGCGGTCTTGGAGCACCGGCATGCCCTCCCCTGTGATTTCTTAAGTCACCTGATTCACGAGCCCTTTGTACTACATTAACAAAGGCACGAGGGGTTGATTGCACTCGATTGGGAAACCGATAAATCCGTGATGCCGCGGCAGCATTTTGTAAGGACTCCACCCCTCGTAAACATGTCCAATTTTTTATTTCGTTTGAGCCACGCAACAAACACCACTATTCATTCACGCGTTACCGACTGACACATTGACTGAATACAAGTGAATAAGATTGTAGTAAAAACATCGTGATAAGCGTTTCAAGTTCTTTCGCTTTTTTGTTTCCGATGCGATGAACCGATAAGGCGGATTATATCCGTTGTTGCCAAAGACGAGCACATAATATTATTATTGAGACAGGGCGGTACTCAAACTTCTAAAGGGCTATAACTGTGTTACATTAATTTTACCAGAAAAATTTTAAAGGAAAAAAACATTTCTTTTGATCAGATCTACTCACTGTTAAAATAAATGACTCAACATCGAATCAAATAATAATACGTTCACAAAAATATAGTATACTCGTAAAATAAATATTTGATTCAAACCAAGAAACTTATGAATGTAACATTTTTCTGTATACTGGGTGGTTTCTGGGATAAGGGAATGCATCAAGTTATATTGGCCACCTTGTGCATAACTTGCAAGACAAAATTCATGATTTTGTCGCTGAAACCGAACATTTTTTTCGTTCGACTATGATTTGGGTCATAAATAAAAAATACATCAACTTATTAAGGCGCCACACGGTATTTATTTATTTATTTATTTACTAGTATATACACTATCCGAACGGTTTATTACACCATTTAACGGATAGGGACACAGGAATCAATTTTAGGACAAAATTGTCCTTAAATAACTTAAAATTTCCAAATGACTTAACATGTTATGTAAAATCTTTTTAAGCTACGCAAATCACAAACGAACAAATCTACAGCATTTCTTGTACGTTCATAGTTGTTACATAGTACATATATCGGAGAGGAACGCAACGCATTGGTTCTAGCTACGTTTAAGTAAAAATATTTTGAATTGGATCATGTAGCATTAGATACATGAATAAGAATCTTACCGAATAAATATTCACAATCTATGGCATTATTAAGCATTTTATATAAGAATACACAAGCAGCGTAGTTTCTGCGCTTCTCCAAGTTACCGAGGTTATATCTGCTAAGTAATACATCCTGCCTGAAGCCAACTTCTGGAGACGTACCATCTTCTTTGTGCAACAAATATTTCACAAACCGCTTCTGAATACGTTCAATTTTATTCGAGTGAACTTCATGAACAGTATATTATAGAGCAGTATTCAATTTTTGATCGAACAATTAAATTAATTATATAACGAGATCATGGTATACACATTATTGAAATCCCTACAATTCCTGATAATGAAGCCCAAACTTGTATAGGCCTTGCTAACAACAGCATCAATATGGGAAGCAAATGTAAGTTTGGTATCAAAGAATATACCTAAGTCATGAGACTCTTCACACGTGTTAAGTTGCGAGTTATCAGTGTTATATATGAATCTGACTGGAACCAGGTTGCGCGTAATATGCATAGTGTAGCATTTATCAGCATTAGGGTACAGCTTGTTACGGTGACACCACTTATTTAGGTTGTTCAAGTCGTTTTGCAATATATTACAGTCGTCCATGATTTCAATTTTACAAAAAAAAAATTCAAATCATCTGCATATAGAAGGCAGCTACTGCGTAGCTCCCCAACCTCGTCATCAATGAAAATTTGGAAAATCAAAGGGCCAAGAGCAGACCCCTGAGGTACGCCGGAAGAAGGTATCATCTGAGTGGAGGAGAAATCCCTGTATTCGACTTTTAAGCATCTGTAAGATAAGATTTGAAAAAATTCAAGAAGTGATGGGTCAACCGTCGCGTAGCTAATCTCTTTAACAATATACCATGATCTAGCTTATCAAAAGCCTTTGAAAAGTCAACGTAAGCAGCAGCTACTTGCCCCTTTCATCAACAATTTCAGAGCAAAACTATTTAAAACACGCTAGATTAGTTAAAGTAGATCTGCCTTTAAAAAAACCATGTTGATTTGGAGAAATTTCGTGCTTGACATGGAAGAAAATTATATCGTGCAATACACATTCGAAAACCTTACCAACGTTGCTTATAATCACAACAACTCTATAATTCTCAATGACACAACGTTCGCCTTTTTTAAATATGGGAGCAATCCTAGATGTTTTCCAAGCCATGGGAAATGTAGTATTAAGAGATGTGTTATACAGATAAGCTAAAGGCTCAGCTAAAACAAAAGCACAGTTTAACAGTAAAAATGTAGGGATTAGATCTTGAGTGGAAGATAGCTTGAGTTTAATCTTTTTCAAAGCGGCAACAACCTGGTTCTCATTGGCATATTCAAGGATAATGAGGCGCAGTCAGGTGAGTCTGCGGGTGTAAAGTTTGTGGAAGGTGAGTATGTGGACTGGAAAAAATCTGCAAAAGCGTTGACAATGTCTTGAGGTTTGTTAAGTTGAGTTTTATCAAACATCATGGTATCAGGGATATCTTTGAGGGTTAGTAGCTATGCCCTGTTCAATTTTAGAGGTATACCTTTGAAATTATTTATTAAACGCATCCTGTACCATATAGTACAAGTTAGCCTAATGACAACCAACGTAAAGAGGCTCCGTTATTTTTGCACTAGCATTACATACCATACCATTTTGACGCTAACGTTGGTTTCCAATATGTTGGCCCAGCATGAGTCATCAGAGCCACTCTGAGATTCCACAGTTGTCACCGTTTGAAATGTCGTCGCGGCAATGACAACCTTGCAGGGTAGCGTCGCCATCGGCGCGCATCGCAGCACATCCAGCTACGGTGACGGCGTCGAGACGGCTCACCAGGCGCCGCGACGTTCCCCGTCATCGACAGTAGTCGTCCGCCGGAGGCAGAGCGCGAACATGCCCCCAATCGCTCCAGAATCAACTCGACGTCGCTCCCGTGACGCGATAACCCCTTACGCCGCCGCGTCAATTCACCCCCATTCTATGTGACATGTGACTTGGTGCAATGATGCAGCTACCGCTGCAGCTGATCATACTGTCGGTGCTGCTTTTCAGTATTGTGCGAGCGTGTCCCTGGACCTGCCATTGCAGAGCACAACGTATCTACTGCAACGGGTTGCCGGATAACTTCACTGCACTCCTGGATAACAATACAGTGTCCCTCGAAATGAAGCAGCTAGATCCAAATCAAGTGGAGGAACTACTAGCCGATGTAGAACTGTTTCTGCCGAAGCTCCAAAGCCTCACTGTGACCGATAGTTACTTGGCCAATATCAGCTTTATCAACTTACCGGATCAACTCGCTTCACTAATCCTTGTAGAGGATAGACTACAGAATGCCCCACAAGACATATTCAGTAATTCGTCACGACTTAGGACTCTGGATCTATCCAGGAATGAAATCGCAACTATTGAATCTAACTCATTTCGAACTTTAAGGACGCTAGAAGTGCTCAATCTCAGTGCCAACGGTTTAACAAGTCTAAGTGATTGTGCGTTTTCCGGTTTGGAATCTTTGAGGTCTCTGGATTTGTCTAGAAACGTACTTAAGCAGATGGACGATAAAGCGTTTAGGTCGCTTGTAAATCTCCAGACCCTTAGTTTAAGTGACAATAGACTCAAATCTCTAAACAGTGTTTTGTTCAGTAGTTTGGTGATGCTTCAGCAATTAGATGTATCTTGGAATAGACTGTCCTGGGTTGCACCTGGATCACTGGAGTTGCCAGGCTTAGTCAGATTGCTGCTAGCTGGCAATCCTCAGTTGGGGTCATCCACAAAAAATGTCGTTGTGGGAACTGGAAGGACATTACAGACTGTTGATGCTTCTCAAACCGGACTTAAACAGGTGCCGGCAGCTCTAACTCAATCAATACGGACACTTCGATTAGCAGCAAACTCTATTAGTCGTGTAAATAGTGGAGATTTAGATTCGTATCCGTTACTTCAATTGTTAGATTTTACTTCAAACAAAATTGAGACTGTGGAGGAGGATGCTTTGGGCCGACTAGACTTCCTTAATGTGCTCTATCTCACAGATAATAAACTAAAAGAGATTCCAAAGAGTTTACCTGAAAAACTGAAAGTGTTACATTTAGAACGAAACTCAATCATCAAAGTATCAGATAAAGAAATAGCGGAACTTAATCAGCTAGAAGTTCTCTTACTTTCGGACAATAAAATCAAAGTGATAGAAGAAACAGCGTTCAGTAAATTAACTTCCTTGATGGCGCTTGATCTGTCACGAAATCCAATCGCAACCTTGCAACCAGGATGTCTCAGTGGTCCAACGAGGCTTGAGGTACTTCGGTTAGAGTCTGTAGCCATGACGCCATCTACAGCTGAAACTTCTTTTCCATTATCTTCAACAGAACATTTGGTAACACTGGATCTGTCTGGGAGTCCAGGTCTAGCTAGACAATTTTTGGCAGATACTGCTGCGTTAGCTGCTTCCATGGCACTTCAAGAACTGGATTTATCCAATACTGAACTGGAATTCGTACGGTCAGATCTGATATACCATCTACCACAACTAAGAGCACTACACCTGGGAGGTAACAAGCTGAATTGCACAAATCTCCAATGGTTAGCTGTTTGGTTAAGGCGACAGGATCAAGAGGAATATAGAGATATATTCTGCGCTAGTCCAGCAAATCTGTGGGGTACGCTACTGGTAGATCTGCAGGATCTAGTTGTAAATCAGTCGCCGGAAAGCACGGCTGCTTCTCTAGGAAGAAATACCATAGATCGACAAGTGACGGGACAATATAATAGCAAACAAAATAGTACAAATTTTCTCACGTCTCCTGCGGAGAGTAACGACATCGCACAAGAAGTAAGGAAAACTAAGTTAGTTAGTAAAAAGTTTGTGAAGAGAATACTGGACAATGAGGTACTTAGAATGAAAGACGACTCCATGCCGCTGCGAAATTCTTCAGGTGAAGAATCTGAAGCAACAACAATTCGTGTAGATATTCTGGAGCTTAATGAGATAGGTGAGTTAGGACTTATTATCGCCGGAAAATATTGATATCCTTTAATTCAAGCTGCGCGATTTCGTCAATCATTCTTGCCTGATTTTAAGCCTTTTTGATGAGAAATTTTGATCAGGTATGTATTCAATCATAGAAAACAATATTCCCAAGATATAGTCGAGACACAGCTGATATATCATAGGTAAACGGACCACAAATATTGCCCGTTTAGGTGCTCCATTAGTGATACAACCACTTTGAGTCGTATGTCACTTTAGTGTTTCAGCAGACTTCGTTGAAATACTGGGAATGATTCTGCATTCCCTTCGCAACGTTTTCATCGGTTCATAAAGTAGTATATTCGACGCAAGTTAGTTCCTCTTTGAAAAAAATTGTCTACCAATAAATAGCTGTAAATGCTTATTATAAATAATTTTTTTAAAAATTGACAGGACCAAGACAGTTTTTTGTTTATCTAATATCTAGTATATTCAATGACTTCGGCTATTAGTTATCCTAGAATAATTTATAATCTTCGAACTGACAAAATTTCTATCGAGAATAGGTTATTACATACCTAGTTTGAGAATGAAGCCATTATTGGGCGAGTAGCGTAGCGTACCGCTGAAGGATATAAAATGCGGGATCAATAATAGCCTCCTTGAACGAGGTATGTCTAGAATTGTTTGCACTAATAACACTATATATCATAAAATTTTGGATTTTACATCACTATTATGAGGTTTCCAAGCCATTTTACAAATAGAATAAGATATATATATATATACAGGGTTATCCAAATTAAGTGTCCACCATTAGTAACTTTGTTATTAGTGAAAATACAAAGTTGTTTGAATTAGCAAACTAGTAGCATTTTTAACGCTGGTAAAAATGAGAAATAAAAAAAAACAATTGAGAGTCGTTATTTTTTTCAGTAAAATAACATTTTTTTAAATGGAAACCCCTGTATATTTTTTTTTTCTGTTAAAGCATCAAATTTTAAACAAAAAAGTTCATAATGACTTTTCCGCTAAAGTCAAAAATAAAGTCAAAATAACGATAAATATTTTTAATTATTTGCAGTATTATAATATTAAGACGGCTATGAAAACAACATGGCGTTCGCGATTTGACAGCATTAAGATAAGCGACAAATTGTTAAACTGGACATACTCGCAACTAGAAGGCTTTGGAAAACAATGATAAAATCAAATAATGTCAAACATTAGTGTAAATACTTGTTTATAAGCTTTATTGTGTCATTAATTTAAAGAAAAATGTTCTCCCATGAAGAAAAGTGTGATATGTTAGAATGCTATTTAGTGTGCAGAAAATCCTCCTTGAGAGCAAGAGAATACTACAGTGAATTATATCCCGCTCGCATTCAACCGTATGAACGATATTTTCTGAGACTTTATCGAAAATTTAGGGGCAACGAAAATGTTTTTGCTAAAACAAGGGCAAACAAAGAATTCATAATAAGCGCGGCCACGGAAATTGCAGTTATTGGATATTTTGAAGCTTATCGTGAGAATTCAATAGCAGATATTCTCAAGGACTCTAATTTCAGTTATGGTAGCGTTCAAAGGATTTTAAAAAAATACAAATTTATTCCGTATAAGTACCGACCAGTTCAAACGCTTTTGGCAGGGGATCCAGAGAGAAGACTTGTTTTTTGCCATTGGTATCTTAGCTTCTGTCGCCAAAATGTAAATAACTTTCGTTACCTTTTATGGACAGATGAATCAAATTTTTCAAATTCTGGAATGTTCAATAGAAAAAACCACCATTATTGGTCAAGAGAAAATCTTTTGTTAGTACATCCAAGAGGCCCACAAGTCCGTTTCAGTTTCAACGTTTGGTGCGGTATAATTGGTTCAAAAATTGTTGGCCCGTTCTTTTATGAGGGAACCCTAACTGGTGAAAGATATGTGGAATTTATGTCAGAAATTCTGACTAATTTCTTAGACGAATTGGATCTTATAAGTAGACATCATCTGCATTTTCAGCAAGATGGCGCACCTGCCCACAACTCCAGAGGTACTTATCATTTTCTAAGTACTACTTTTAATGATCAGTGGATAGGAACAAATGGCCCAATACAGTGGCCTCCCAGATCACCAGATCTAAACCCACTTGATTACATCTTGTGGGGTTACTTAAAGAACCAAATTTACAAGCGAAGGTACGATAACCTTGACGCGTTAAAGACTGCAGTTAGGGAAAAGATAACCCAGATAGATGGTAGGACCATACTTAAGACAGTTCGAGCAGTTGAAAAACGTGCCCAAAAATGTATTGAAGAACAAGGTGGTGTTTTCGAGCATCTTCTTTAAAAAAAATTGTTATTGTATTTTTTAAGATTATAAGTTGATGTTGAAAATAAAGTTTGTCGATACAATTTAATTGTTTCAGATTGGAGGCCATAACTTCAACAATTTGTAACCTAGGAGAAAAGTTATTGTAAGCTTTTTTGTTTAAAATTTGATGCTTTGACAGAAAAAAATATAATATACAGGGGTTTCCATTTAAAAAAATGTTATTTTACTGAAAAAAATCAAAATAACGACTCTCAATTGTTTTTTTTATTTCTCATTTTTACCAGCGTTAAAAATGCTACTAGTTTGCTAATTCAAACAACTTTGTATTTTCACTAATAACAAAGTTACTAATGGTGGACACTTAATTTGGATAACCCTGTATATATATATATATATACAGGGTGTCCCGAAAAAAGTGTGCAATATTCTACCAGCGGTCTCTAGAGCTTAAAACAGGAAGAAAAGTTCATATAAACATAGGTCGACAAATGTCCCCTAAGGGCGCTTACGGTCTTTTAAAGGGGCTCCCCCGAAGATGGTTTTTCCTTAATATTTCCGAAACGTGTTAAGATAAAGACATAAAATTTGGTATTCTAGCCTAGTTTTTTATGCTGAATTTAAAAATATCAACAATTTTAGACAGTTTTGTTTGGAAGCGTATGTAACAGGGACGGACTCAGGTTGTTTTAGCCCCAACATTTTTGTGTGACTCTATTTTTGAAATTCAATTTTAGAATTTGAAAATTTAGGGTTCTCTACATAAAAAGGTACTTTTATTGAATATCGATAAAATGTGTCATTTTTTAATAAAATCAAGCATGATAGGAAATGTACTGCGAATATAAATAAATTGTTGATTATACATAGCCATGACTGCAAACAAAAATTGTTTTGATTTATTATGACTCATTTTGACATTAAGCTGACATTGTTAGCAGTGTAAGATTTTATTGAATATCGATAAATTGTGCCATTTTTGAATAAAATCAAACTAAAAAGTTTGTCACATGATAGGAAATGTACTGCGAATTTAAATGATTTGTTGAATAATTAGCCATGGCAACGAAAAAACTAATTTAATAATTGGCAAATATTACATAAATACATATTTCTATTGCATCATAGCTAACATTTAGGCGAAAACAAAAGAAATACTTTTTTTCTACGAACGAAATTGATTTTTTTTTTAAAAAGGAGACATACAGTTGGATATACTTAAAACTAGCCTTACAATAAGTATTCAAATAAATTCCCATTTTGTTGGATACAGAGTCTCGCTTGACAAATTAATGATTGCGTAACCCGAAAAGTGCAAAACCTGTTTCTTCTTATTGCATTTAGAGCCTGGTGAATTCTTTGAAGTAAATCTTTTTGAGTATTCACTTCAGTCGAGTAAACTAGGTCTTTTAATGACCCCAAAAAAAGAGATCCAATGGATTTAGGACAGGTGAACGTGACAACCACGCTATAGGACCTCGTCGGCCTAACCGCCTGTCTGGGAAATTGACATTCAACCAATTTCGAACATTGCGTCCAAAATGTGCAGGGGCGCCATCATGTTGAAAAAACATATTTTCTTGAAACTTCTGGTGCACATCCAATGGTATTATATCCATGAGCTCATTCTGAAGAAAGTTCAGATGCACGTCTGAATTAAGACGATTGGGAAGTACAATAGGTCCAATTACTTGATCCCCAATCACTCCTGCCCATAAGTTCAATGAAAATCTATGTTGGAAATTTGGGCGGCGAACAACTTTTGGATTTTCATCTGATCAGTGATGCATGGTATGGAAATTAAAAGCACCATTTCTAGTAAATATTGACTCATCCAACCATAATATTCAAGGAATAGTGTATTCATTTGCTAATATCTACTGGCAAAACTCAATTCGTGGTAAGAAATCTGCCTCCGTTAAATGCTGCACCCGTTTAAAAAGATGAGGATGTAATCCTTGCATTCTTGTCATTCTTCCTATCTATAATTATTATTTTTAGGATAACTATCAAATAGGTGTTAAATAAATAAATTTGTCTTATTATTGATCGAGGTATATCCATAATTTTTGAAACATTTCGTATGCTTATTTGCGGATTATTTTCAAACATAGGTATTTAAAGCAATATCCATACGATGATTTCCCAGTGGCCTTCCTGAGCCCTGCATGCACTGAAAACTTCAATGGTTTGACAAATTCCGGTGAATATCAGTGAACATTCGAAGTTCAGGTACTATGCGATTGGGAAGTCTTCTTTGATATTCTCTTACGGCTGCCAATGAACTGCCATTGCAAAACCCGTACACAAAATGCATGTCAGTCAGCCTCTGTCTGTAAATGTTGACATTTTAAATCGATTTAATAAAAATTTTTAATCTAGTAATTTTACACTGCTAACAATGTCAGCTTAACGTCAAAATAAGTCATAACAGATCAAAACAACTTTTGTTTGCAGTCATGGCTAACTATGTATAATCAACAATTCATTTAAATTCGCAGGACATTTCCTATCATGTCACAAATTTTTTAGTTTGATTCTATTCAAAAATGCCACATTTTATCGATATTCAATAGAAGTACCTTTTTATGTAGAGAACCCTAAATTTTCAATTTCTAAAATTGAAGTTCATAAATAGAATCACACAAAAATTTTGGGGCTAAAATAACTTGAGTCCGTGCTTGTTAAATACGCTTCCAAACA